TCACTTTGACTGGTTCACCCGTTGCCTCTGTCACTCACTGGTACCTTTCTTGGACCATGGGTCCTTGATTCTGGCGCCTCTCATCACCTATCTAGTAATCCAAAATCATTTTCTGAATTTCATAAGTCTACCTCATTACTTGATGTTACTTAACCTGATGAGTCACGAGTTTCTGTTAAGGTTGTTGGTGATGCTCAACCATTGCTTTATGTTCCCTTTATCCTCCGTTCTTTTTGTTCCTCATTGTCCATTTAACCTTGTTTTTGTTAGTCAATTAACCAAAACTTTGAACTGCTTAATAATATTTTACTCTTATTCCTTCTCTATTCAGGACCGCAGAACGGTGAGGACGATTGGCAAAGGACTTGAGCTCCATGGACTGTACCACCTTGACCACCCTCCACCACTTTCACTCCTAATTGCATGTTCCATTTCTAGTTCTCCTCAACTACTACACTAATGGCTGGGTCATCCGAGTCTCTCTAAGTTGCATCGGCTTGTTCCAAGTCTTTTTAGTTTATCTTCATTGTCTTGTGAATCGTGTCAGCTAGGAAAACAAACTTGCATTTTGTTTCCCCGGAAAGTTAATAATAGGGTTGGTATGCCTTTTGCTTTAGTCCACTCTAATATATGGGGTACGTGTCGAACTACTTCTGTATTTGGGTTTCAGTACTTTGTTGATGAATTCTCAAGATGTACTTGGCTTTATTTGATGAAAACTCGTTCTAAACTATTTTCTGTCTTTAAAATATTTTATGCTGAAATTCAAAATCAGTTTGGTGTGTCTCTTAAAATACTTTGGACGTATAATACCACTGAATACTTCTTTATTCCTACGACTCAGTTTATGTCATCTCATGGTATTTTACATCAGTCCTTGTGTGCCTATACTCCTTAGCAAAATGGGCTGGTTGAACGCAAAAATTTCCACCTAATTAAGACTGCTCGTACTTTGCTTGTGCATCATCATGTTCCTTTCCGGTTTTGGGCTGATGTTGTTCTGACTGCCTACTATCTTATCAACCACATGGCGTCCTCGGTTTTCTAGAATAAAATTCCCCACCAGATGTTGTTCTCTCAAGATCCTTTATATCATTTACTCCTTCGTGTTTTTGGGTGTACTGCATTTGTTCATGATTATTTTTTGGGTCTGGATAAGTTAGCTCCACGTGCCTGTTTTCCTTGGCTATTCTAGGGTTCAAAAGGGTTATAAGTGTTTCTCTCCTCATACTCGTAGGTATTACTTTTCAGCTTATATTACATTTTTTTGAGTCCACACCTTATTTCTCTCCGTCATCTTTGATCCCGTCTGTCAGCCACGTGTTACCTATTCCTTTCTCTTCTCCTATTCTTTCGTGTCCACCTCTTTAGGTTTATAGTCGTTGTCCTCGCCCACAAGTGACCCCTTCCGATGGTTCTACCGCTCATGTTCCTCCAGCGTCTATCGACTGTCCTGGCTCTTAAGACTTGCCATTGTCTTCTTCTCCTGCAGTTCCTATCCTATCGGATCATGCACCGTTACGACGAGGTACTCATTCTTCTCGTAATCCTCATCCCATTTACAATATTCTTAATTTTTATCGTTTGTCTCCCACATACTATACCTTTGTGTCAAACTTATCCTCCATCTCTCTTCCTAAATCCCTTCGTGAAGCTCTTTCTCACCCAAGTTGGCGACAGGCAATGGTAGATGAAATGGCTGCTTTGCATACTAATGGTACTTGGGACTTGGTGTCTTTGCCTTTAGGTAAGTCTCCCGTGGCTTGCCGTTGGGTTTATACAATTAAGGTTGATTCAGATGGTCAAGTTGCTCATCTTAAGGCCCGTTTGGTGGCTAAAGGATTCACACAGGTCTTTGGTGAGGATTATACTGAAACCTTCTCACATGTTGTCAAAATGTCTTCTATCCATTTTTTTATTGCTTTGGCTTCAATGCATTCCTGGCCTTTTCATCAGCTTGATATTAAGAATGCATTTCTATATGGTGAACTTCAAGAGGAAATATATATAGAGCAACCACCTGGATTTGTTGCTCGGGGGGAGTCTAGTCTTGTTTCCAAACTACGCCATTCGCTTTATGGATTGAAACAATCTCCGTGTTTTGGTTCGGTCGATTTAGCAGTGTTATACAAGAGTTTGGCATGATCCAAAGCGCACTAGACCATTCTGTCTTTTATAAGCACACATGAAGAAGTAAGTGTTTATACCTTCTTATGTATGTTGATGATATTGTTATCACCGGAAATGATCAAGAAGAGGCCACTCGGTTAAAGCAACATCTATTTAAGCATTTTCAAACTAAGGATATGGGACCATTGAAGTACTTTCTTGGTATTGAGATTGCTCAATCACATGATGGTATTGTTCTTTCACAACGGAAGTACGCATTGGATATTCTTGACGAAATTGGTTTGCCTGACTGCAAGCCAATAGACTCTCCCATGGATCCAAATTTAAAGATTCTTCCGGGATAGGGGGAGCCATTAGTTGACGTAGAAAGATATCGTAGAATTGTTGGTAAGCTTAACTATCTCACATTTACTCGACCTGATATCTCTTTTGTTGTAAGTGTTGTGAGTCAATTTCTTCAGTCTCCATGCGATAGTCACTTAGATGTTGTCATTCGAATCTTGAAGTACATCAAAGGGTCTCTTGGTAGAGGATTATTTTACACTAATCAAGGTCACACTGAAGTAATTGACTACTCAGGTGCTGATTGGGCAGGATCCCCAGTTGATAGACGCTCTACTTCGGGATATTGCATATTTGTGAGAGGTAACCTTATCCCATGGAAAAGTAAGAAACATAATGTTGTTGCTCGCTTAAGTGCAGAGGCAGAATATCGAGCTATGGTATTAGTGACATGTGAACTTATTGGGTAAAACAACTTCTTCATGAACTCAAGATAGTGGAAGTTTAAAAAATGAAACTATTTTGTGACAATTAAGCTGCCGTGCATATTGCGTTTAATCCGGTGTTTCATGAGAGGACTAAACATATAGAGATTCATTGTCACTTTATTCGGGAGAAGGTGTAATCTGGATGCATCGCCACTCACCATGTTGCTTCGAATGAGCAACTTGCAGACATTCTTACCAAATCTCTTAGAGGCCATCGAATTAAATTTCTACGTGACAAACTTGGATCATACTATTTGTATTCTCCAGTTTGAAGGAGAGTGTTAGATATATTATGTATAGGGGTATTTTTATATTTATAATAGTATAAGGGTAGTTTAGGTATTTTGTATAGTTTTAATATATTAGGATTTTGTATATTGTAAAAATTAATTTTTACGTCAATGAGATAGCAATATTCTTCATAACCTAAAGGGAAGTATTGTGACATCACTGTAATAGGTGTCATATACGCCATCCGTCCTAATTCAAAGTACCATTTTTATTATTTTCTTCATTCTTACTCAAAAGTATCTCTTTCTTTTTTAGTAAAAATAACCATATACTAATACTAAAATATTTTTTACTGTTATCTATATTAAAAATATATCATTACACATACAACTACTTTATACATAAAGTTAAAGAGCAAAAATATCAAAGCCTCTTACACATTTCCACTAACCAATAAAATATTATTATTTTTTAATCTACTATAATATCCCAAAGACCCATTTCAAATAAGACGAAACAAGTATATAATATTGTGTCTTGATATTATCCTGACACGTGGTAAAAAAATGATGACTAATTGTATTATTATTGGCTTATTGTGTTTAATGAAAATTAAGATAATAATTTTACTCTTCAAATCTATTTATCTATTTCTCTCTCTATTTTCTAAAATACAAACACACATATAGGGATATATATATCATGTTGTACATTATGTATATTTGTTTTATCTTTTGAATTGCAATCACACGGCCGTACATATATATATATATACAATTTTATACATTATATCTTTGTTATATTTCATAACAATAACATTTTAATTTATGATGATGATGATGATAACAGTAAATTATATAATACTCCATTGTATTTTAGTAAAAAATGCATAAAGTATTTTGCGGTTTATTCATTGCGTGAAATTTTCTATGAACAAAGTTTGCACAAAACACTGTTTCGTTCAAAACTGATATTTGATTATAAATATGAACCCAATAATACAATTTTTATAAAAATAAAAAAGATAAAATATCTTAAATAATTTTTTTTAATAAAATAAATAATTAAATAATTAATTAATCATTTATTTTTTTCTTTTTTTTTAGTTTTTGGAGACAAATTGTTATTTGATATTTACAACAACTATTAAAATAAATGACGGATTAATTATTCATTTATTTATTTTATTCAAAACAATTATTTAAGATATTTTACGTCTTTTATTTGTATAAAACTTGCGTTGAGGGTGTTTTGTGCTAACTTTAAATTAACACATACTACAAAAAATAAACAGATTACTCATGGAAATTATTTACGGAATTCCGTGAGTAATCATGAAAAATCCGTTAATAAATTGATTACTCACGGAATTACTCACAAAATTTTGTCCGTAAGTAATATGTTACTAAATACCTCGTAAGTAATTCATCGCGAGGAAAATCCATGAGTAATTCCGTAAGTAAATTACTCACGAAATTACTCACAAAATTCGGTCTGTGAGAAATTTACTCACATAATTACTCACCGACTTTGTCCGTAAATAAATTTACTCACATAACAAATTTTGTAAGTAATTCTGTGAGTAAAAATCAACAAAACTCTCTTACTTACGACGGAATGTTCCATGACTAATTTCGTGAATAATTTACTCACTGAATTACTCACATCAATTTCCCTTACGACATTGACATATGATGTTTGAGACAAAATAATTTCTGTGAGTAATTTTTCTGACCCTAAAAAATTATATTTCAATTTTTTCATACCTGTCTCAAATCATATATTACAATAGCACAAATTCAAACCACAAAGTAAATCATATCAAACCAAATATCCAATAGACAAAATACGATCGAATCACACGATATTTATAAACATGGTTTCATAATCGATGGATACCACAAACAACAGTAAATATAACCGTATATTTGAAATAGTAAAATCCGTCAAATATTAAAGTTCAAATATTTGGTATGAAAATCCACAAACAGGTGGAGCACCAGACTCGCCATCGGGGTCGTGGCGGTTCCGTCGGACGTAATTCTCAAAAGGGTCAAACCGTTCCTTCATGCGCGCTAGCCGACTCTCAGTTGTTGGAGCACTAGACGTATAACCATCACTAGTGGATGAGTTGCGATCCGGTGACACTATCGATGCTAGCAACCTAAGTCCAAATATCCTCTTCTTTTTATCCCGATGTACCGATGAAAGTAAAGCATCATCATGGCTATACTGTGTCTTGCCAAATTGAGACATGAGACACGTTCGAGTAAGAATGCGCTAGAGCAACCTAACCATGAGCAAAACTGAATAATTTTAAAAATGGACAAGCTTGTTGACACAAATGAAAAAGATAAACGGCTAAGAAATACATCTAAAGAGTTATCAGAATCCTCAAACATAAAAAAATACTTGTGATAAATCTAACATTTTAATAATTTTGCACATATTTCGACATACCTCACCAAAAAGAAAAAATACTTCAAAATATTAACACCAAATAAACACACTCAAAATTTTGATCCAACTTTATCAATGGAACAAAATAAATGATACAGAGTTAGCAATCAAAGAAGAAAATATGAAACAATAGATAAAAAAAAGTGTGAAATAGAACTATTAGTATGATATAAATAGTAAATTGATAATTTAGTAGGGTAATCGGTAAATTTAGGTAAATCATTTGGTTTTATTATCTTTATTATTTTATACTCTTTCCTTCCATTGTACATGGAAGAGGAAATGGTTCCTTACGGAATATGAAAATAGAGTCAAATTCTTCTATCTCACATTGTGCAGAGCCTATGAATCTGGATTGATATGATAAATTGAAAGGCTATAAGCATTTAGTACAATCAAACTAGAACAAGGACAAGAACTTATAAGGCTTCATGGATGTTTTCAATTTGTTTCCCCGGTTCATTTCCCAGCTATGCTTCATATGAAAAAGCCAGACTTGCAATGTATATCTCATCCGAAATTTTGAAGTAGGAATGGTTGGGGATTTGGGGTATCAAAAAACTAATCATAAACTGAATTTGCTAACAAGCTAATCAGCTCAAAACCTCACATTGATCATATGATCGATATTATTATCAAAGGAAACACATGAAAAATATGGGGATCAATTCATCTTAACCTTGGAAAACATCTTATACTTTCTAAGAAACATGAGCTTTACTTCTAAACCTTAATGCATATGATTATCAATCAAGATGAGAAAAATCTAATATACCTGTTGCAGATCCAAAAGCTTTTTCTCTACATCTTTAGCTGTTTCATGCCGCTCTTGAATTTCAAATGACATCATTTACATCAATACTATGTGTTATTTAATGGTTGCACAAATTTAGTCTACTTTTATAGTTGAGACAAATATATGGCTCCCAAATTAAAATTCTCTGTCGTGTTTTTTCTATATATGCCGAAAATTCATAAAACACTGCGATGGAGAAGAAGCAGAAAATGGAAGAGGATGGGCAAACAAACAAATGGGAGTTTTCATACACCTGTCCTCGGCTTTTCTGGCAGATTGCATTCTAAAAAATTTGCTCATTATCCCCTGTCTCTATCAATCTTTCAACTGTCTGAAGATGAATGATTTCAGTAAATGAAAATATTTTAACACATCTTAAATGAAATATTAAGGAATACTAACTTCACCTCTTCATCAAATCGAGTTCTTGTCACTGTAAACTATGTCAAACATAAAAATGTCAAAATTGTTTATAGATTTTGAAGTGTTCGTAAACGACCCTTTCCTAGATAAGTATTAATACCTGTAAATACACGTCTCTCAATAACTGCACCGATAATCTTGTCGTATTGTTCTCTCTTAGAGTCTACAAAAGTAATTTTCAAGTAAAATTTTGAAATAAGATAAAAGGAATACTGAACTACACCAAATGTAATAGACTAATAGTAGCTAATGTACCTGAAATTCAGACATTCTGTCTTTGAATTTCCTCTTCAAAGCCCTGCATCAGAACGTAAACACTAAAGACATTAATTCCTCTTTCAATATTTAATGTATGCGTGTGTGTATATATATTACTGATCCATACATCTATGGCTCTTAAGTAAGAACTGTCAATGGATGGAAACAGTCTGAAGCCTCTCAAACTAACTGTTGTAGTTTCCCTTCAAATTTAATTCCAAAAGCCTCATAGTATAAATAAGAGAATACTAAGAGGAGTCAAACATACTTGGTCCCATACTTACAGCAATATGTCTTTTGCATCAGCAACAAACCAAGCCTCCATCCTACAAATATACCATTGTAAGACTTCATATAAAACGCCTTTTTGCCTAAAAAAACACCAATCATTAGACTTCTGTTACAAAAAGGTGAGCTTCAAGATAAAAACAAAGTTCTACCACCTTAAATTTGGGTTCCTGTCCATCACAATTGATATTGCTTACTTGACAGATATGTCATTGCTCTGATCGTTCCTCATTTTATCCATCTAAAAAGGAGTATTGTTAGAAGACTTGTTCCAAGGGAAATGCATTAGTTAGCCATGTATTTAGAGAAATGATCTATTCAAGAAATGCAATTCCACCTCCTTAAGATTTTTCTTAAATGCAACTCCAACTTTAGTAACAATACTTTGGGGAACTTGGTTGCCATTCATGTCAAAAAGTGCACAACTGAATAGCACAACACTAAAAATCAAAATCCTTGCAAATTGTAGGCAATGTTAAATGCTTCTCAAGTTCAAAAAATCATACACTATATATATTCCAAAAGCATACATTTATATGATAAGTATAATATATGCGCATGCTGGAAATAAACAAACTTAAACAACACGTTGGGATTCCCTTATTCAAGCATTTAAAATTCGAGAAAAATGATTGCATAACATTGTTTGGGGAAAGATTCACCAAATTTTGACAAAGCCTCGGAACTAACCTGATTGCCTCATTTCAATATCAAAGGCTCCGCCATCATCTTCTCTGCCGCCTCCACTGCTTCCGAGATCTGAAAAACTCGTTACTCTAATTAGATTTGGTAAACATTTCCCCATCCAGAAATTCAAGTCAAACATTCCTAACACACTAGAGAAATTGTACCTAACAATTGAATGCTACACAAAACTAAATAGTTATCTGTAGAAATAATGGATTGCAAATCGATTAAAGCTTCTTCAACTCCACCAAAATCAGATCTCGGAGAAAATAATGAAGAGAGAAAGAAACGTGTTTTTAATCAACACTTACTCTACATCTATGAGAGATGATTCCCACGGCTTTATTTCCGACGACAATCCCGGCGCCCCTCCCAAGCGGAATGGTGACTGCCAGGAGACGAAGCTGTCGAAGTAGGGCAGAGGAACAATAATATCAGTATTATTTCAACTCATTTAAATTATAAAATTTAATTTTAAAATGATGGGCGCGAAAAGCAGCCCTATTTATAAACTTTATATTGAAATAAATTTTATATTCATATTATATATTCATATTGAATCAGTAATTAAATATTTTTATAATTTCTTTTTTATTTTTAATTTAAAATTTAATTTAATTATTTACTAAATTTATTAGTTTAATTATTTTTATATTGTAACAATCTAATTAATTGTTTATATAGTTACATATATGATTTTTACATAATAAATAAATAATAAATCTATCTAAATAATATTAAAATTAATTATTTTTAAATAAATTTAAATTTAGAAAAGAATATAAAATAAAAAATATTAAAAATAAATATGTATATATATAAACCGTCAGGCCGTAACTGAAACTTTAGTTCAGAAGGTTTTAATTTTCGACTTACTCACGGAATTTAATTTCGTGAGTAAATTTCAATTTTTTGACAAATTACTCACGAAATTTAATTCCGTGAATAAGTCCATGAATAAATTTCAAATTTTTAATTAATTACTCACTGTATTATTTTTGTAAGTAATTTATGCGTATTCTGTTAGTAATTACTCACAGAATTGATTTCGTGAGTTGTTCCGTAAGTATCCATACGTAATTACTCACAAAATTTAATTCCGTGAATAAGTCCATGAATAAATTCAATTTTTTAAGTAATTACTCACTGTATTGTTTTTTAAGTAATTTATGCGTATTCTGTTAGTAATTACTCACAGAATCGATTTTGTGAGTTGTTCCGTGAGTATCCATCCGTAATTACTCACGGAATTAATTATGTGTGTAATTTCCGCGAGTAAACTGCAATTTTTTTTTGTAGTGACAAAGGAGTTTCATGCAATAAATAAAACACATAATGTTTTGTACATTTTTACGAAAACACAAGTAAATGTAATATAATTTACCAAAAAAAATAACAAAAATATCCAGTTCTCCGAGTTAAACTCTAATTTTGTTAATTTATTTAAAAAGGTAAGTAGAATTTAATTACAAATTTAAATACAGTTTCGATTATTTATTTTACAAATGACTTAATTACTGCTAATTTATAAATATTAATAACTAGATATTTAACAATCAAATCTAAGTAATTTCTAAGCTATTAAATTATTTATATATCGATGTTCATATTTGGAGAATTTTATCTCGATCCGAATTCGAAAAATTTTGAACGTGTCGGAGACATTTAAATTTGATACTGTATGATAATTAAATTATTAACCTAGCTGAGAATAGAATAAGAAGCGTATTTTACTCTCAAAAGGTAGCCGCCAATCACAACAATATATTGATAGTGCCATATATTGATCGAGTTTGTTAACTTAATCTGATTATCGAAATAGATAATTAATTATAATATACATGTAATCACAAATTAGTGGTTGTGGTTGAAAAAATATTTTCAATCACTTAATAATTGTATAGACATGATTCATTAACAAATACACAACACATTGTACCTTTTTGTTGGAGCTTGACAATCCATATGGTTCTTCACGGTGGCTGTTAGACATACATGTAGCACAATTGTTGTATACTTCTTTGATTCTACTGGTATTTGCGGTATACGGTAGTGCTAAGCAAATGCACCATCATAGTTACGCATATTGATATACCGTTACACTTCGCAATAATAGTAGTTAGTCAGACAACCAATGACCTGTATTGCAGGGTCATTTAGAGATTAAATTTGACTATTTATAGTCTTATCTAATTATTATCGTGCAGGTTTTGATCAACTCACTAAATTGATCAGTACCGCTAGTTTAGGATTATTGACCAATTCTAAACGTGATCCCGAATAGGCGCGCGATGAGCAGTAGAATTTTTGGTTTCCTTTCGGTGATTTCTAGGGTGCACGAATCCCGCTACTATACACGGAATAGATCTTTCCGATAGGTTATCTTCGGTACCACAAACTCCCATGATGTAGTTCTATGGTGAATTTTTTGTGGGATTGAGAACACTTAATCAATTATTTACTGTTATTTTATCAATAATAGTCTAATCATCTTAAGTACGAGTGAAGATACTAGCACGTGTTTCACTCTAAGCATTTTTTAAAATATAAAAATGTATTTATATATGCATGATGTATGCTATATTTATATTAAAGCAGCCTTAGCGTCAAATTACGTGGATAGGTTAGAAAAACTGATATCTTAGTTCAATATAGTGGTAATATTTTGGTTTGTGCCAGCTGGGATATTACAATGTGGTATCAGAGGCTCTGTGAACTAATTATTGAAATTTGAATGATATTTCATGTTAAAAATTTGAATTAGACTTAGTTGGGTGAATTCATGTTTATATGTGTTTTTATATTTGAATTGTTATACTTGCTTTAATAGTATTTCTGAGTTGATGTTGAATTAGAAAAGTATAGTTTATTTTTAGATGTACGAGCTATTACCACTAAGTGTTGATTTAGTGAAAAAAAAAAATTGCATAAGAACCAATTACGTGACAATATGTGGAACTACCTGAGCAAGACAGGACATTGAAGCATTAATCAATCTTAATTAGACACCATGCCATGCCTTGTATTTTGAAATTAAGATCTGACGTGGGTGGGTAGTAATTTTTGTATCTTTTGTTGACATGCATTTACAAAGTGTTGCATCCAAAAATCCTACAGCCATAGGATTTGATGAGAGGGTGCTGCTCATGAAGAGGTATATTTGGTTGACCAGCATTCGCATTGTTTTATTTATTTATTTGGCCATTATAGGGCAGGGGCAAAATTAAAATAAAAGACCTTTAATATATATATATATATATACTTTTATTAATATAATTACAAAAATTATTAAATGTTAAATTTAATAATAATTAAATTTTTATATATTAAAGGATTGAAGTACAAAGAGTGTGTTTGTATGTTTACTAATATTTTTAGTTTGAAATAATTTTTATGTTTAATATGAGAAAATGTGGGGATCAAATTAAAAAATATTTTTTATTGAATTTTATTTTTTATTGGTTAATAGAATACTATGAGGATGTTTTGGTAAACAATTTTTTTAAAAGTTTTTAGCTTATCGAAGAGCTTTTAGTTATTTGGCAAGTAAATCAGTTAATTTTGTTATTCGGTAAATTAACGTTTTCAATTAGCGTATTGGTCCAAAAAAACTAATTTTGAAAAAGTTGTATATTCCAGCGTTTCATATTAGCTTTTTTATTTTTATTTTTTTATTCTTTATTTTCCCTTAAAATTAATTAATTCTTTTACATATATTAATATTTTTTTATTGCACTATTTATTAATTCTTTGAATATATTTTCTTCTAATAACTTATAAATTTATGTTTATAAATTTAAAATAATTATTTTTTTATATGTGAATTATTTTATTTATAAATTTGTTTAAATTTTTTAGAATACTTGTAATATAAAAATATTAATATTATTGATTAATTTATATAGTATTTTATATCACATAATATTTTTATTAAAATGAATATATTTATTTAAAATTATAAATTTTAATGTAAATACATATTAACTAAATTAAATTAATAAAAATACATATACTAATGAATTTTATTCTTTTATATTTATATTATTTCTAATGAAAAAAAATAAAAATCAATAAGCTTGTATTAATTCTTTACAAAATATTTTAAAATAAATATCTTAGTAAAAATTTTTTAATTTTTAAAATTAATAATAAATTTTTTATGTCTATCCACCGAAAAACAAACTAAATATTTTGAAAATAAAATATAAAATGTCCTTAATGGTTATTTTACGTATAAACAACTAATATCAAAATACTATTTTATCAAATAATTTGATACAAACAACTAATAAAATCAGCTAGTCAAATCAGCTAATCAAATCAGCTAACAGTTAACAACTAATCGAATCAGGTAACATCTAACAACTATCAGCTAATTGCCAAATACACCATATATATATATATATATGTATATATATTTCTTGAGTATATATTGCATTAAGATAATATTAATCTCAAAATATGTCAAAAAAATTTATTGGATAAAAGCACCCAAATATTACCTCCGTCCAATATCTATCTACCAATTTGTTTTTTACACAAAATTTCAAAAATATTAATATTATATTGAAATGTAGTAAAAATAAAAGTAAAAAGACTAAACTAACCTTATTAGTATTGTATGATATAATGATAATGATATTTGTATAATATATTGTAAATTGGAAGGGTATTTGTTATGTTAAGTATATAGTACAATTACTAAAAACAAAATCGATAATTTGTTATGGGACGGGCCAAAATAAAAAAATAAATATAATTTGTTAAATGAGAGAGGGAGTAGCTTATTTTATACTCCCTCCGTCCCAGATACCATATCCACGTTGCCGTTTCTGTCCGTCCCAGATACCAAGTCACTTTCCTTTTTTGGAAAAATCGTTACACACTTTAATCTCATTTTAAATTTTTTAATTTTATTTTTTTAATTTTAATTAAACTAATTAGTTATTTTAATCTTAATTTATAATTATTTATATTATAGGATAATTATTTTCACTAATACATTCTTAATTATCTACTAATTACACCCTCCTAAAATACCGTTTCTACAGTGTAGCAGACACGGTATCTGGGACGGAGGGAGTATTTTGTAATATTATTGTGTATTTTGAAAATAATAAAAAATTTAAATTAGAAAATAATTTAATGTGAAAAAATATTGAAAGTATAGATTAAATAATAAAAACTTATTTGCTTAATACTAATAAAATACACATTAAAAAAAATATTAAAAATAAATATAATATATAAAATAAATATTAAATATATATATACACAATAAAATTAAAGTACTAAAGAATAATATCCTTATATCATATCTCACAATGAAAATGTCAAAAATTATAAAAACTAAACACTAACTACAAAATACAAATAAACACATAATTAATAAATAAAAAAATAATTCA